ATAACAATTCTAAAGTGCACCCAACATACAAGTTTTGACATAAATAATTATATACTTAAATTTATATTTATGTAGAACACCAGCACCGACGCCTCAATCCATTGAATGGACAGTGGGTGCTTGTGAGTCCGCATCGAATGCAGAGACCCTGGTCTGGGCAGGAGGAAAAGCCGCAACTTAACGAACAACCCGAGTTTGATCCCACTAATCCGCTCTGCCCGGGCGTGAAGCGACCCAATGGCATTATAACGGAACGATATGATAGCACCTATGTCTTTGACAATGACTTCCCCGCACTCTTGGAGCAGGTGCCGTCGCCACCTGCTAGCGACGATCCCCTATTTCAAGCAGCGCCAGCGCGTGGCAATTGTCGCGTCATGTGCTTCCATCCCAAATCGAATTTAACCTTGCCAACCATGAGTGTGATGGAAATCCGTGCTGTTATTGATGAGTGAGTAAAGGATAATCCCTATTGCGCTTCGCTCAACACTCTTACATATTGTACATTTCAGATGGATTAGGCAATTCAATGAACTGAGTGGCAAGTATGCCTGGGTGCAGATATTCGAGAACAAAGGCGCCGCCATGGGTTGCTCGAATCCGCATCCCCATTGCCAGATCTGGTCCTGCTCTTTCCTGCCCACAGAGCCACAGCAGAAGCAGGAACGATTACGCGCCTACTATGCCACCCACGATCGGCCCATGCTGGGCGACTATATGGAGCGGGAACTGCAGCGCAAGGAACGCATTGTCATTGAGAATCCCGATTGGCTGGTAGTGGTCCCCTATTGGGCTATCTGGCCTTTCGAAACGATGCTGATATCGCGCAACAACAATAAACGGATCAACGATCTAACCGACAATCAGCGCCACAATTTGGCAGTGACCATCAAACAGCTGACCACCAAATATGATAATCTCTTCAAGTGCTCCTTCCCCTACTCGATGGGCTGGCATGGTGCGCCCACTGGGCCAGAGCATGCGCACGCCTCGAGCGCCCACTGGACCCTCCATGCCATCTACTATCCACCACTTCTCCGCTCAGCCACAGTGCGTAAATTTATGGTCGGATTCGAGCTGCTGGCGATGCCACAGCGTGACTTGACACCGGAGCAGGCAGCACAGCGACTGAGGGATTCGGACGGCACAAAGCACTATCTGAGCAAATGATTTCAATATTTCCAGCTGTGCTAATTAAAATACACATTTGCAAATGTGCCAGAAAAAAATTAAAATTAAAGCTAAACCTAAAATTAAAACACCACAAATTTGTATTGAACTAACTAACTCCTATAATCAGTAAATTGTATAACTTTGAGCCGGCTTTAGATTACACCTTCAACGTATTTACATAACACTTCAGTTGACTTGTATGAATGCCTAAATATGCGTGTATTCAGATTATATGTATGTACGTATGTATATAAATGCTATATGTATATAGTATTTAAATACTTTATGATGTTAGTCATAATTTATATAGAATTTATGTCGATCTACTCCTGCCCCTTTGTCCGGCTGTTGAACATCGGAATCGGTGAAAAGTATACCAAATTTAATATTTAAAAAATTTACTAAACTAACTAATTATGGTTTGCTTGAGGCTAGAGACTGCTTTTAATTTAGACTTCCTATTTAAGGCTAATGGGACCTATATAATAGAAGGAATTCTTTATATCAAATATAGTTCACCAATAATCATAGGTACAATGTATAATATATAATTATACATTATCTATATATAAATACTTGGAATAACGACGAGTCTTATCAAAATGCAATCAGATTAAAGAGCAGAAGATTAGCTATTTATACTATATACATATGCAGGATAATATACATCTTCAAGATGAATACATGTACATATTAAACAGCAATATATGTGCATATAAAATGAGAGCAGAGCTTACCTGAAATTCTTGATGTGGTTGCGGTGGCTGGCTCTGTATGATAGACTCATCGGTGATCAACTGCTGCTTATTCCTGTTCTTATAGAAGGCAGGCATGCACTCATTGGGATTGTGGAGATTGACACGTGGCCTAAAGCTGTTGGTGCCGCGCACAATGGATGCTCCGTCCGCATTGCGCCACAGATTCATGCGACGTAGTCGCACCTCAAGTTCGATGTCATCGCAGGTGGCAATGCGTGGCATGCTAAAGGTCAGCGATTCCTTGGAACGATGTATCAGCGCATGGATCATAGCATTACGAATCTCCAACAGATTCTGACGGCTATAATGATGCATGGGTCCATCCAATTTGCTGGCAGGCAATACGCCAGCAGATTGGGTGTTACGTAGCTTCGACAGACGCTGATTGTTCAGGCCATTGGCGGCCGAGGAACTGCGTAGCTTTTGGCTATTAGCCTGTTGTTGTTCGGTCATTTTAGGCAGCTGCTTCTTGGCAATGGCCTTGGCTTGGTTTGTAGGTGGACTCAAATGCAAGTCGCAAGACAACAGACTGGTTGGTTGTGTATAAGGTGTTGAAGCGCGTGCCGACAACACCTGCATTGTCATCAGGCCCTGAGTAGCCTCATCCTCATGGGTTGTTGCTGGCGGCAAAGGTATGGCGTCCTTCGAGATGATGGAATTCTTAGCTTGCAGTTGTTTGGCCATCAATTTGCCAACTTTCATCTTTCTCTCCAGTTTACGGATGACGGCCGGCTTATTGCACTTCGGATGCACAATCATGGCGGTGATCGGGTTAACAGAACGTTTCACTGCACACGTGGGAGACATTTGGACAGTATCCGATTTAACTTCAGGCAGAACGTGTTTTACGGACTATTGAGCAATACAATTACAGCCGCAACAAAATTAGCAAAAAAAAAAAAAAAAAAAAAAAAGGGGGATAAATATGAAGTTTAGAACAAAATTAGCAATACTAGCGAAATTTTCTACAAGAATTAGTTAGCGAAAATTCAGACACGTTAATTTTAATGTCATTTCCAAAACAATAATTTCTAAAGTCAAACGATTGTATACGGTCAGTTTGCTGATTCTGCAGCTCTTTCAAAAACATTAAGTATATTTTGAATATTTTATACTATTGAGGTTAACAAAATAAAAATGAATGAAATACACTTAATAAATTTAGAAAACTGTTGCAAAAATCTGAGCATATAAAACAGGGTTCCTATTGCTTTTCTAGTAAATGTAAGATTTAAAAAAATGAAGTAATTGGAACAGCTGCAGAGTTACAGATATAATAATCAAATCAGAATAAATATACAGACTGAGACATATGTACATAGGAAAATAAAAGCTATCTTGATCAAACTAAACTTCTGAAGATGCAGAACACAAATACACGTTTCAAAGTGAAAAAGATAATTTTAAGAACATAGTTTCCTCCTTTTTTTTTAAATTTTGGATATAAAGAATTAAATAGGATATACATAGATGTATCAATATACTCATAATAATAAATACCTAAGAATAACCTAAAATATTGAGTTCTAATGATTCAAGTATTTTTTATATATGTACATATGTACTATATCTAAAATCTACGCGTTATGCACCAAGCTTAATATATGGAAAATTCTAATTGGTCATATTTTTGTCTTGTTTGATACGCAACATTACAAAATCGACAAACTTATCTAGTGAGCACTGTACATAACTGTAAATTTGTCACTTTTGCGTTTTTGTTGTTTTCTATTTAACTCACATCGGAATTCGCTCGCTGCTGCTGCTCCCGCTTGTTGCTCTCCATTTTCGTAATGGCCTCCTCCAGAGCGTCTTTTAACTTGACTGCCGTCAATTTGACATATCGCTGACAAATGGCTTTTGCATTTGTTGGCAGCGGTGGCGGAGGTGGCGGTGCACAAGGATCTTCCCATTGCTCCGAATTCGCCTCATCATCTTCAGTGTCCGGCGACGCTGCCGATGCTGCCGCTGACGTTGATCGTGGCGGCGCTTGAACAGGAGTGGGCGGCGGCGGCGGTGGGGCCATGGCGAATTTTGCCTTCTCAACAGGTGTTAACACTTGCTGAATATCAGTCTCTTGGAAATCTTCTAGACTATTAGTTTCGTTATCCATTAAAAGGAAATATTTTCGCATATATTCGCGTTGCTTCTTCGCCTCATCATCTTTAGTGTCCAGCGACGCCTCCGATGCTGCCGCTGCCGCTGACGTTGATCGTGGCGGCGCTTGAACAGGAGTGGGCGGCGGCGGCGGTGGGGGCATGGCGAATTTTGCCTTCTCAACAGGTGTTAACACTTGCTGAATATCAGACTCTTCGAAATCTTCTCGACTAGTAGTTTCGTTATCCATTAAAAGAAAATATTTTCGCTTACATTTGCGTTGCTCCTTCGGCGATCGCTTTGATTCTAAAGCGCCAGCGCCATTTTCTTCTTTGATCTCTTCAGCCTCGAGCATTTGCTTTGAACTTGTCGACATTTTCTGTTTGCAATTAATAATTTTCAGATCTTTGTTTATTTTTTGTCCTGACTAATAATCATACTTACAATATTTAAAAAAAAAAATGGTTTTAATAATAACCAAGCACTTTAAAACCTTAATGCAAAGTGTAAGTTTAAATATTGCAAAATGAAATCACGTTTATGGCGAGTTCGTAGATGCCGTTATTTTGACTTTTCAATCGTGCACCGCCTAATGGATGCATATGTGTGTAATGTTTGTGTGGGTGTTTTGAACTGAAGTCGTGAACCAAAGAGAAACCAAGAAGGAAGTTCAGGGATTGCCAGTGTTTTATATCGAGCTATCGATAACAGAAATAATATACAAAAACATCCCTTAAAATAGCGGGGAAACTTAAACTTTTGCAAAGTCAATAGAAACAGTAAAATATAATGGAATAATAGCTAACAAAGAAAATGCAATTTAGTTTATATCAATCAATGCTTTTAAAAATAAATTAAATGCTTAAAGATTTTTTTTAAAAATTATTAAAGCACTGACCAGAGAACAGGCATTGTCGCAGATACTTAAAAATAACTATCACTGTGAGATCTTAGGGAATTGCACATCTCTAGCATAATGCCATCATTAGTAACTGTGTAGCTACGCTACAAGAAAAAATATTTTTTCATAAGTATTAATTGCAATAAATCGATTGAGCAGAAATTGACAACTGCGGATATTGCGATTGGGATTGTAGAAGTCCCAAGCAATAATCCAAATATATATACTGAATGGATCAAAAAGTATGTAAATTGATTAAATCCGTCTCTGCCATAAACAAGCGTAACATAACCTCATTTTTCCATGTCTAGCACTAAATTTGACGGAACGACGGAGACAAAGGTAATAATATATTAACAAAATGACACAATATCTGCCGCCAAATCTTTTGGCGTTATTCGCCTCACGGGATCCAATACCGTTTATGCCGCCGGTGGACAAGTTGCCACATGAAAAAAAATCACGAGGGTATTTGGGCGTAGCCAATTTCATGAGCGACTTCGAAGACCCAAAGGACACACCACCGCCTAAAACAGTGGAAACGCGCCAAGAGCGACTGGAAAGAAGGCGTCGCGAAAAGGCTGAACAAGTCGCATATAAACTGGAACGTGAAATTGCTCTGTGGGATCCAACTGAGATTAAAAACGCTACAGAAGATCCATTCCGCACTCTCTTCGTAGCGCGCATAAACTACGACACCTCCGAGTCTAAACTTCGGCGTGAGTTCGAGTTCTACGGGCCCATCAAAAAAATCGTGCTCATTCATGATCAGGAGTCAGGTAAATTGTGTTGTTATGCATTATTTTTTATCTAATTATGCTTTATGATTAAGGGAATAATTTTTAAATAAAATATTTTGTATTCTATATCGTACTCCAGGTAAACCCAAGGGCTATGCTTTTATTGAGTACGAGCATGAACGGGACATGCACGCAGCGTACAAACACGCCGATGGTAAGAAGATAGACAGCAAGCGTGTTCTGGTGGATGTTGAGCGCGCTCGAACCGTTAAGGGCTGGCTACCACGTCGACTAGGCGGCGGCTTGGGCGGCACACGGCGAGGTGGCAATGATGTGAACATCAAGCACTCCGGCCGCGAGGACAATGAGCGTGAGCGTGAACGCTATCGCTTGGAACGTGAGCGTGAGGATCGCGAGGGTGGTGTTCGTGGCGGGGCCAACAATGGTCTCGATGGACGTGGTGGTCGGGCTCCTTACGGCGGAGCTGTGGGCGGTGAGAGGCGACGCTCGCGCTCCCGAGATCGCAGAGAACGCGATAGGGAACGCGGCGCACGTGTCGGTCGCTCACGCAGCCGGTCGCGCGAACGACGAAAACGTCGTGCCAGTAGCAGGGATCGTGACTATGACGATTTCGATGGACGACGGGATAGGCGCGACAGGGACCGCGATCGCGATCGTGAGCGTGAGAAGAAAAAGAAGCGCTCCAAGTCACGCGAACGGGAATCATCTCGCGAACGGCGCGAGCGCAAGCGTGAGCGACGAGATAGGGACCGGGGAGGCTCTGATCGCAGTGGTGGCGGCGATCGCGATGTCAAGGAACGTAAACCAGATTTCCGTGAAATGGACATGATTAAGATCAAGGAGGAACCTATTGATGACGGTTATCCAACATATTCGATGAATGACTATCAAAACACGTCCATCAAACGTGAACTAGACGATGAGAATGAGGAAAAGTATCGGCCGCCTGCTACGCATCATAATATGTTTAGCGTGCCTCCACCGCCGATACTTCCACGCAGCAACAATCCCGATAATGGTGGCCAAAATGCCAGCGATCCGACTTGGTGGCGTCAGTGAGAGTCCTGTCCATCGACAGAACAGCAATAACAATTGGTAATCGAGTACGATAACAATTTTCAGAATTTGTTTCTTGTAATCCTGCGCTGGTAACACACTATTATTATAATTGTAACAAATCCATCATTTGGCACAATCGATAACGTCGATTGTTTTTACTTATTTATTCAATTGCAATTTGAAATTTAAAATTCATAGCGAGTCAGCCAGTGGGATGATACAGTTCGGAATCATTGATGCGTAAGACAAGCTGTAAGTCCGTTTTAAGCTGGAAGCACTTTCAGTTGCTATTTTTAATTAATCTTGAAAGCAAAACACAAAAAAAGCAGTAACAAAACTAAAAAAAAAAAAAAAAAAAAAAAAAAAAAACGTAAATCAACAAAATAATTGTGCATAGCTTAAATACGTTTAAATATGTAAGTAAATCTTAACAATTGAAAATGAAGAGTAAGTAAAAATAAATCAGATCAACATGTGTTTGTTTCCCCACCTTTGGTAAGGGGGTATAAGGGAATGCTATGGTATATGGTACATGGTATATATTTATATATGAGACTATCCGGATTCCGAGCGAGTACTGATTGGTTTGTTTTGGTTAAAACATGTTTAAAATTAATCACAAACAAAACACAATTCTACTATAAAACTGTGCGCTAACTCGTGCCATTTTGTTTTCTTTATTTTTTGCAGTTTTCAATATTGAAAATCTGAAAATCAGTATATTGAATATATACGTCCAGAGTGTGAAAACAAATCATAAGTATTTCAACAAACATAAATTAGATCCAAAGCCATACAAAAATCCTTCAGAGCAACCTAAAAAAAAAAAGCAAAACTACTCAAAGCCTTGACCCATTAGAAACCTATGAAAAATCAGGTAATTCTTCTCTACACAAATCCCACTAATCCTTGCGTTTACCGTTTTAGGCCAACACTAGAAACGTGATGGCTCCGCTTATTCAATTGGTGTACCATAGCTCTATCCAAACCTGGGTCTGTGAGTAAGTTCAAACCGGTTCAATTTCTTTCGAAATATCTGACGATTGTAAGTTGTTAAGTGAGCTGGTTTGTTGGTAAGATTTCTGTCCAAAGAGATAATTTGGTCTAAATGAAATTGAACAAGAATCCAAAGAATATATATATTTAATGAAGTATATATTCTTTGATCTTGATGGGGATGAGGTATGCCCCATAGAAATGGTTATATATCAAGTTGATATCGTAGTAATCATGTTTCGATCTCGATCTTTTCAAGTACGTTTCGTTTGGTGATTGTTTGTGTGGCACCTGTACTAGAGGACCACACATCACGGGATAAGCATACAAAAATATATTCTGAAACGGCATCAGGTTTGTTATTGGTCGTTTTCATTTGGCGCCTATAACTGGTAAATGTCTCTCTATAGCGTATTCTCATGTGTTTCAATTGTTGTAGAACATAATCCGCATAAGGGTGAAAAACGGAAAAACTGCAACAAAAAGAACTATAATCTAAGGGGAAATGATGAAAAGAGTTTAATATACAAAAATTCAGATGGTTCCAAAATTAGCTTTGATTCATTTATGTGGATCCTCGGAGCTCAATTTTCGAAATATAGTTTCTTATGGAGTGTTAAGCAAAGCAAATGTGGGACTTTTTTTTAATTTGCATTTGTATGATTTGTTGCTCGGAAATTAAAAAGTTTATTGATGTGCTATAACAAAACTTCAAAAACAAAATAAAGTATTTTATACAAGCAAATAAAATTAGTATTCATTTTATTATTTTCTAATATTAATAATATAGTCGGTAAATTGTCAGAATATAATTAATCAATCGGGAAGCAATCCTCTGTGCAACATTTTAGTTCTTCACAACAATTAAATTATGCGCCGATAAATTTGCAATCGATTATGAATCATACTGTTTAATTGATAATTGATATATCGACGAAATAAAGCAAATTACTAAAAAATAAATCAACCAACTATAATTTGGTTAACTACATAATATCACTAATACAACACATATATATGTAGTGAAAAATTGCTTGGCACAGTCAAATTTAAGCATAGGAGCTCCTGACAACTGTGTTCTCTGGTTAGTGGTAATAATTTAAAAGTTACATATTTCTAAAAATATTCAAATTGACTTCCGAAAAAAATAATGCTATTTTGTACCCGCAACTTAATTTTTAAGATATGACTTCTAGAATTCACTTTTTAAATAATTGTAATATTAAAATAATATAACGATATTCTGTAATTTGTTTGTCCCCATTTTTTTATTTTTAATATTGACACATGCAACACTGTCAGTCCGCGTCGTTGGTAATTTTTAGTGTATTATTTTGCTAGTAATTTTTGCCGTGTGCGAATAGGGAAACACTCAAAATACAACCATTTTTTGGCGTGTGTGTAGCTAGCGCAAGCCGCTTGGTAATATAAAAAAGAGGGAAGCGAGTGGTGAAACGTATAAAAAAGTAAGAAAAATTAAATTTCAGTTGCAGTTTTGAAGTGAAAAACAACAAATATATTATAAATGGTGAATATTCATTAATTTCTGCGTATTCTTTACATCCAATGTACAGCACGCACGCCCGGCATTATTGCATTTTACATTTGTGAATATCGTGAAGCGCATACATAGCGAAAAAAAGAAACATGTCTGACGAAAAGAAGGGAGGTGAAACTGAGCACATTAATCTGAAAGTACTTGGCCAGGATAATGCGGTGGTCCAATTTAAAATTAAGAAACACACACCTTTGCGAAAACTAATGAATGCCTATTGCGACCGTGCCGGACTCTCCATGCAGGTGGTGCGCTTCCGTTTTGACGGCCAGCCCATCAATGAGAACGATACTCCAACCTCGCTAGAGATGGAGGAGGGCGATACTATCGAGGTGTACCAACAGCAGACCGGCGGTGTTTATTAAATATATACTTGTATGAATGTAGTTAAGCTAGTTACTTTTCATTTTAACGACAACAGCAGCAACAAAACCAACAGCAACTGCTGCAGCAATAGCAGCAGCAACAATAAATAAGCGAGCATTATTCTACATAAATAAACAAAAAGAAAAATATTAATTCTGTTCTTGTTCCGTTTCATGTTGTATACACATGAAATGAAAACAACTAAAGGAAGTGTCCCCAACATACATCTAGATATTTGCTAAAAAGAAACAAAACAAAAACAAACAAAAAACTGGAAAATAAAGCATTTTGTAAACTATGATTTAAGAATGATTCATAAAAGAAATATCTCTTTTATTGGCAAACTATGGTTTTGGTGGCTAAATTGCCGATGGCGCGCATTTCCCGCTTTGTATTCCTTGGACGCACGCACACAAACACACGAGAAGTGCTTGTAACATGGTGCAAACGTGTATGTATGTGTGTTGTGTGATGTTTCAGCATTGTTGGTACACACGGACATAATTCGTGTACAGTACAGCAACTTCGTTTGCATGTGTGTGCGTGTGTGTATGAAAACGAGTATACATACACAATCGAAGCAGACAGATGTCTGTCCATGTGTACGATAAGAACATGAACTGTTCATTATTATTACATATACGTATTTGGGTGGCAAAACATAATGAAATGGGTATAATACTATATGCTCAAAATCTAGCTGTAATTCGGCATAATAGTAAAGATCTACCAAACATAACCTCAAAATGCATATATGGAATATATGACGTCATCGCGTACTAAACGTACGTATGGTTGTGTTTGAAAGGGAGGAATTAAAAAATAAGTGACAAATCGATTTCAAATTTCATAAATTTATGAAATTTAGAGTAGAAAATAGAGAATTCTCAACCGTCTTTGTCGTAAAATTAAACTTTTTAATTTTTAACGGAAATAGATTGTACGGGCATAAATATTGTCAACTCTTATTCTATAATCAAAACTTTATCATGAAAGGCACCAATCCCATTAATAGTTAATTAAAAATATAACACAATTTAAGTTAAACCCATTCCTTGGGATTACGCAGAACCATTAGTAAGTCACCCTCCTTGGACGTAGCTTTCGGTTCGTGCATATATTCCCAGCGGGCGTGCAGCGGCAGGGACATTAGGATGCTCTCGTAGCGGGCACCAGGAGTATACAGACCGAATTTAGTACCACGATCATAGATTAGATTGAACTCCACGTAGCGGCCGCGTCGTAGCAATTGCCACTCGCGCTCCTTGGTACCGTAGTCCGCATTCTTGTGCTTCTGCACCAACGGCAGGTAAGATGGGATCACGGCACGAGCGCAGCTGGTTACGAACTTAAACGCGCCCTCCTGGTTGGGCTCGTCAATGTCATCGAAGAAGATGCCTCCGATGCCACGCGACTCGTTGCGATGCTTGATGTGGAAGTAGTCGTCGCACCACTTCTTGAACTTTGGATAGTAGGAGGTGTTATGCTCATCGCAGGCGCTCTTTAGCGTCTTATGGAAATGTCGGGCATCGCTTTCGTCCAAGTAGTAGGGCGTCAGATCTGTACCGCCACCGAACCACCACTGCTTTGAGCCATCGGGCAACTCCACCTCGAAGTAGCGATAGTTAAAGTGAATGGTCGGCACATGGGGATTACGCGGATGGATGACAGCGCTGACACCGCTAGCAAAGAATGGCAGTTTAACGTTCTCCGCCAGATCTTTGCCTCTTGAGCGCATCTGCTGAACGGCCGCTGGTGGGAGGGAGCCGGTCACAACGGAGACATTGACGCCAGCCTTCTCGAAAACGTCGCCGTCTTGCAGGACACAGGTCACGCCGCCGCCTCCTTCCTTGCGCAGCCAGCGGTCCACTTTGAATTTCTGGCCATTGAACTCTTCCGATTCGAGTGCACGACAAAAATCAGCTTGAATCTCCATGATCATCAATTCCATGCGATGGCGCATATTGTCTTGATCAGACAACAAAACAGCCGAGTCCGTAATGGGCTCAGCCATGAATTTGGATACGTTCAACTTTCGGCTGACCTTTGCTGCTTCGGCCTGTGCGTACGTGACCGATGCGATGGTGGAAAGGCCAAGCCCAGTGCCAAGCAGGAGTCCATGCAAATGCTGGCTTTTCATACGGCGTCCAAGCTGAAAGGTGCCCAGCGCCACGATTGAAATGGTGTGTCTTAAAGCATTCATATTTAATTTAATCTATTGCATTTACAACCGTTTTTATGTTACGAACAATATTTGTTATCTATGTTTCTTCTTCTTGCACCGGCATTTCAAGCCAATTGATAACATAGCTATCGATGATATTTCGATGATTAATCACAATAAATAAATAGCCGGCATGTTTCGATAAAGAACAGTTACTTTTTATTTTCGTTTCTTCATCCACGAGCCGAGTTTTTTCGCTTGCCTATTTTTTATAATATGGATTTCGATAGCGACTTTAATGAACTGGTATTCAAAATGAAAGTCAATAAAACATTACATTCTACTATTTCTTCGGTCTCGCCGCTCTCTACAAATGAAACTTATCCTGAGCAGGCAACTCAAATTTCGAGTTTCTTCGATTCAATTGGAAAGCCAAGTGAAATAGCCGAGGATCAACGTATATCTAAATTTTCAACTCCTTCAGGATCTAGGGATTCGTCTAGAATTTTCCAGTTTACAAATATGATATCCATCGAAGACGAAAGCCTGGGTTTAAGCACACTGAGTGATCGCGACATCAACAGTCCACGGACACCAATTAATAACTCTTCACCGCATTATGACCGAACTTATCGTTTAATTAATCAGAAATTCCGTCATATATGAGTTGTTGAATTTTCGTTTTTATTACAATTATTAAGATTGTCAATTGAAATAAAAGAGAAATCAAATTGTTTTTCGCCTACTCTTTGATTACTTGTTCGTATCTCTGCAGCCCTAAAGAATAAATGCCTAAAGTATCGATTTTAAAATTACCCGTCAATTTAGCGCGCGTCGATGCCTACTCGTCGATGATCGATTCATTTGAACAGAGGCAGCTGCACGAACGCTATTTGTCCTTTGCAATTATAATTTCTTCCCCAATTTATGTGAGTAAATTTCCAATTTTCCAAACTTGTTTATTGTGTAATACATTGTTATTTGTGTTTATATACGTGAACCTCCTATAAACAAAAGGACGCAGTCGAAATGTCAGGCCTGGAAAAATTTCAAGACAATCCAGCATGGCGTCAAAAGTTGCTCAAACATTTGCTCACGGATCGGTAAATACGTCAACATATGTATTACTGTAGAGTGGATGAAAAATTAGCTCCAGCGTAGCATGAATCAACTTAGAATGCGCTGCAGATCAATATTTTGAGTAAAGTAGCTTTGCATTTAGTCGCAGGCACAAAACAGTATAAAATAGTTTGATCATATCCCAAAAAAAAAAAAAAATTAAATAAATAAATAATTAAATAAAATAAAATAAATATAAAAATTAACAATCGAATTTAATTTTATTTTAAAGGCCACGACCAGCTGCACCTAAACCACAAGAAGAGTCATTTGATCGTCGTCCTAGTGTGGGTATTGTCTTGGATTTTCCGGCTCTAATACAGGCTCGCAAAGCTGAACTGGAGCTGAAGCAGCAGCAACAGCGCGAGAATAAAACTAGTTCATCAATGGATTCAGAGAGTGGACAGAAATATATGTTCCCACTCGCGGAGAATACAGCCAAACAAATGGCCGATGATAGTTTCGATGCGCTCGAGCGCATGTGTGATAAGACTGCCTCCGACCCAGACAGCACACTCTTCCAATATCTGAACAGCGATGATAAGGAACAGGTATTGGCTACAGCCAAGACGCAATGCTCGCGTTCAAACAAATGTAAGTCTATTTAAGGTATATGTTTATAAGCTCATCAGGGATCTAGTAAGTGATCTGAATTGCAAATTTAATTCTGTATTCTTTAGCTAAGACTAAAATCTCAATTTGCTTTACAGCTGATGACATAGAAACGGAGGCTTTGCGCCGTATGCTGGCGGATGTAGCTGATCAAGCTGACTTGTGCAACGAGAGTCCACTAAAGAGTGCAGAGTGCACACAGTTGGAGGATGTTGAGGCGCCATCACGTTTCTGGGATAACGATTCTATGCTCAATGCCACCGATTCACATTTTCCGCTAAAGACAGAGACATCGCCCGTCAAAATGGTCGGCCTATTGCGCCCTTCAACCATACTGGAGGCCAATGAGGCCGATCTCACTGGCTTGCAATCAGATGAGTCCTGCTCTCTCAACAGCAGCTTTCTGACAGCCAAGACGTTGAGAACGGAGCTAGGCTCTGCATCTGGCTCTAGTTGCTACGAAACGGCCGCTGATGATTCATTGGCGAGCAGCTCGAAAGATGTTACAGAGACAGCAGCGTTGAACGTTGATGACTTGTTTTATGCGGCCATAGCCAAGGCTAAGCCACATGGCATATCTAAGATCGAGCAGGAAGAGCTGCTGTCTGATATGCAGGAGACTTTAATGGATATGGCACTCACTGATGCGGCAGATAACACTATCATTGAATTGTCCTCGTCCAGCGAGAATGAAGAAGAGCAGGATGGAGAACGCAACGAGGCGAGCAGGGAAAGCATTAAACAGGAGGAATGCTCTCTAATTGATTTAGATGATGAGGAAGATAAGGAAAACAAGTCAACACGTTTGAATGGCACCATAGAGGAAATGGATTACATGTTGAAAAAAGCTCAAGAATACATGGAAACTAACAAAACCCCACAAGAAACATCAGAGCAGCAACCAGATCCAAACATAATTCATTTGCATCAGAAAACAAACTCACCGTATAAATTTCTCATGCCCCAAAACAAATGTGAGCCAATGTTACCCGAAAAGTCGCTGCCGGCCACTGGCAGATTGCGGCATAAAATCAATATGAATTATCAGCCAACCGAAAAGTTCTTCAATGAACCCATATTGCGTCGCCTCGCAAAGAATCAGACAGATAATTTTGCCCATATCGTTAGTCCCATACGTGCCTATACACAAAAATCCAGTAGTGCGCCTCTGATGAGCATATTCCGCGCAACATCAAATAATCTGAGCGACACTCAGCCGGAGGAGGAGAACTCACTGATATGTCAGCTGAAGAGGGGCCAGGCAGCCGCCCTAGCAGGCAAGGAAGCAAAGGTTAACCCAGAATACTTTAATCCAAGTGCTCCATTTCTGCCTAAGAAGGCATACATTTGTTCTGATTTGAAGCAGGTGAGTCGAATGCGGATTAGTTGCATAGATATATATATATGTATGTATTATTATAGTTCATAAACACTTGAACATTTGGTTGAGGAGGGAGTAGGCTGATTAAACCAAATCAACGAGGCTTTATCAAAGCTTTGGCATATAAGTTGATGTCTATCAATAGGACTATTCCAATTCATGGGCTAGGAATTTTCCAATTGTTTCTTAATATTAATATATGTACATATTTATCACGCATTCTCAATCCTCTAACAAATCATTTTCCATACCCCCGCCAGGTCGTTGATGAACGTACTCCCTTGGCAATGCCGAGTGTGGCGCAAATCCAAAACTATTTGGATTCAGCCTCCGACCCAACAGTGGTGCGTCACGATGGCAAGATGAAGACGCCTGGCAAGAGCTGCGCCACCAACCAAAATAAATCGTATATTCCTCGCCGTGTTAATCAAAGTCTGGCAGATTTGTCGCTGGCCTCCGGCGACGTCTCCTTGTACACTATAAAGGATGCTAAGAAATTTTAATTATTTTTGTTGAAAACATGTTAAGAAGAGGAGACGTTTCTATATGGGATTCATAACAAATGCAAAAAGCGAATCGCAATTAGTTTTTTAATTCTTTAACAAATAAAGATTACGATTTAAAACACACCTAATAACAATTAGTAACTAGTAAATGCCATCGATTGCTGTGTGATTATGTAAAAAGTTTATAACTTTTTACCCTGCGGCCCTTTCCAGGCACGATTCACCTTGGATTCAGTTGGTCTGCCCAATTCCGTGCATATGTAGCGGCCCACTTCAATGAGTTTATCCAGATTGACACCCGTATTCATACCCATTCCGTGCAGCATATAGACGACATCCTCAGTAGCTGCATTGCCGGAGGCGCCACGTGCATAGGGACAGCCGCCCAGGCCAGAGACAGAGGCATCCACAACTCTTATACCGTACTCCAAGGAAGTCAGAATGTTCGATAGCGCCTGGCCGTAGGTATCATGGCAGTGCACGGCCAGTTGCTGTGCAGGTACGGCGCGTGTCACCTCATCCAGCATCTTGCGCATGCTACCTGGAGTTCCCACGCCAATAGTGTCGCCCAGCGAGATCTCGTAGCAGCCCATTTCATGCAGCGCAGTTACCACCTTGACCACAGCCTGGGGCGGCACAGCTCCCTCGTAGGGGCAGCCTACCTAAAAGAGAATTTAATACTTGGACCACAGTTTTAGAATGTTTCAACTGATTTTACCCACCACAGTGGAAACGTAGCCTCGCACACGAATTCCATTTTTCTTAGCAGCTTCGAGGACAGGCTTGAAGCGCTCGATGGCCTCTGCCGCTGTACAGTTGACATTTTTAAGTGAAAATGCATCCGAAGCGGCACCAAATACAGCTACTTCCTCGGCGCCAGCCTCTAAAGCACTCTCAAATCCTTTCAGATTTGGCGTCAACACAGGATAACTAATGCCTGGTGCACGCCGTATGCCACGCAAGACCTGCGAATTGTCGCCCATTTGGGGCACCCACTTGGCGCTCACAAAACTGGTGGCCTCAATTGTTTGTAAGCCCGTTTCCGACAGCCGATTTATAAGCTCAATTTTTATAGCAGCCGGCAGCAATTTCGGCTCGTTTTGAAGACCATCGCGTGGTCCCACCTCCACAATGCGCACGATATCCTGCGACAGCTGGGACATAAATCGTGAAGATCTGCCCTAAAATTTGTTTGTTTTAATAATAATTGTATCCATGGATCATGAGGACTTACAAGGAAAGACCATTGGAATAGAGGACGCACCAAATATCGTGGAATTATCATTATGGACAAACACTTGTTACGTGTAGTGCCTCTTCTTTAACACAGCAAAGTTCGCTGAGCGAACAGCTGTTGCTTATCAGAATGATCTTCACAAACCGATAACATGTTTTAATTTATGATGAGAGTTGATAAGATAATTATATATATATTGTTTACCAAAGACTTATACGTCTATTAAAGAAATCTGTTAATACGTTGCAATATAATAGAGTTTATGATTAATGTAATAAAATGTATATTTGAAATCAACGTAAATTGGCGCTTGTTCGTAAAGTATCGATAATTTTACCAATATCAGCTGATTGCATTTACTTTAATCTTTGCTCATCTCTAGTGCCCTTGAATTTAACGCGCTTACAATGGAAACTGAAAACAATCAACAAAATGAAATCAATGAAAACAACATAAAAGATGAGAATGATGAAAGTGATAGCGACGACGATGACAACGGCGACAGTGAGGATGTGTTCCACTTTGAAACAGAGCACCTGGCGTTGCGTGGCAATCAATGCTACAGCAATCTTTTGCGTACCATAGCCACTCTACAGGCGCAACGGATCCGCGTCCACCAGCAAATTGAGGAACTGGAGAAAGCGCGCGATAACTACCTGGAAAATCCGCAACTTCTGCTGGACAGGTTGCGCAACAACGAGCCTTTGATATCTCCCCATTATTTAACCACGCTTCGTCTACCTGAGTTGCCCACATTAATGGTAAAGCCAGATGTTAAAATCGAGGCGCCTGCGGTCAGCTCTCAACCGACTGAGGAGGACAAGAACAGTAAAAATAGCCATAAGAACCAGACTCGATTATGGACAAATGAAGAGCAGCGC